GCCCCCCAGTGCACGTCGCCAATGATATAAGTTATTTGTCGAGCAAACCAAAAAATACAGAACTATATTGCCGATATATTTAAATTATCGGCAGTGCAGACGTATTTCTTAATAATGACGGCGAATGCGGAGCCAAGTGCAAATAAATGTGAAGATAATACCACAAACCATCCCTCAAACTAACAACTAACTTTCTGAATCCATTCACTAATTCAACTAATTTGGCCCAGTCAGTCATTTAACTTTATTAGTGCAAGTCGTGTTTTGCAGGCTAATTGCGCAAGAAAGTGCCCCTGGCCGAATAAATAATAAGTATTATGATGGATAAATATTATGATTATGTATCGACATATATAGTTACTAAAAAGGTGATCAAATGCAGCAATAAGCCCAAGGGCCGGTTAAATCAATCCAATGAATTGATGCCTAGTTGCTTATACCCACTGCTATAAGTTAAATTTTAAATTTCAGTAAACCTTGAAACGAGGTCTTCTTTGCGTGTGAGACCGTCATGTCAGAACATTCTAGAAAGAATGTTGCCCTACGTCCAGAAGGGTAGACTAGGGTAGATAATTAGGCCCTCGCCCCTACTACCCTATATTCGTTACGGTACTGTCATTTGTTCAATAAAATCAGACAGAAGGCTGTCGACACACACACTCCGACTCTACACAAGCCCTTCACAACAGCTCCCGATTAGGGTAAGCTCCTTCAAATTATCTTCACAACGTATATTTGAATTCATGAATTTAAGAGGCCTGATTAACAGCAACACTACCACTAACCAGTCACCGGATCTACAGCAATGGATGAAATCTTGGAAGCACCACCGTCCAGTAACAAGCGAGCATCAGTAGAATTCAGATTTGTCATCCAGATCTCATTCCGTTCACCGTCCACTGCATAAAGCTAAAATTTTAACTTTATTTCATTCTTATTTTATAACACAGTCAAAAAAATATGACTGTGACAACGAATGGAATCATGCAGTCGTTTCTAGCTGTGCCACTGGTATCTCTATATCTAGCGTCTGTTGCTCCTGGAAGCCTCTGTACAAACTCTTAACGCATTTCATAAGTAAATTCTTAACGCACTCTATTCTTTCATTAATAACGATCACGATGCACAGGAATTCCTAAACGTGAGCAAAAAGATTGTTCATGTGGTTAGGAAAGCGTGATACACTTATTATTAAAATAATTGGCCAACGCACGGGCTGCCGTGCGAAGATGCGTTTTTTGCACAGTCCCCCGCAGTTTTTGTCGCTACCGGCACCGGTTTTTTCGGCAAATGCTTCTAGTTAAACAAACTAAGAATGACCACTAAGACTTGCAGGGAACACCCTCTTAAAATTCCAGCTTTCTAACTTTTCTGGCTCCCGAGATAGTAATTTACCCGCAAAAAAAATTCACGGGCCCGTACATTAGAACCATGCACACCCGGGGCTGGGTATGTGCTCATCAACACCTACGTGGACGGGGAGCACCCTCTTAAAATTATAGTCTTATCGGACTCCCGAGTTAACAATTTACCCGTAAAAAACTTTCACGGGCCCGTACGTGGGTACCATGCATACCCGATGTCTGGCTTGGAGCTCATTAATACCAATCTAGACAAAAAACATCCCCTTAAAATTATACTCTTCTAGCTTTTGAAGTCCCCGAGTTAGCAGCTTACACGAAAAAAATTTCACAGACTCGTGCGTGGGTGCCATTAGGGAAGAGCGCCTGCTTTGGGGGTTGAGGCCCGTACGTGCTTGTAGATTAAGTTCAGTCCTGTAGCTTTTGTAGGTCTTCAGATGAAAAATCGGTACAGAGGCCCAGCGCAGATACAGACACAGACACACACACACACAGACAACTCCTCGACAATATGCATTTTCTGCACTGCATAGATGCAAAAAACGCACAAAAATGCATGACCCAGGCTGGAACGCACCAGGCGAGCCGGTGCGATTATGCGTTTTTGCACCAGACTTTGAAGTGCCTTCTCTCGTAGAGGGGGAATGGGGAAGAAAGAAGAGGGTTCCACATTACGCCACCATTCAGCTGAGTATGGGGTT